AATTGAGAGGGCATTAGTCATCAATCTCCTGTAGAATTCAGTATACATGTCAAACACGCATATTATTCTSTTTGTTCCCCTGCCCCTCCATTCTTACACTTCTCTTTACCCCAGGAGGCTGACATCTATGAACAACTCCTTCACCCATTTCCATTTATTGCCATTTCCAACCATGTCACTCTTTTTTCCCCTGCCTTGCTGGCAAAATGTAGAGAGAGATTATTCCAGAGYCTCAGCTCTTAAAGTTTAATGGCTTCCAGCTTCACAAGGAAACCCTACCTAGTTGGTTCCCTTGATCCTTAATAAATAATTACTTTATTAAACTCTCTTCAGTTATACCCAATGTGCCATTTTTTTCCTGCTGGGACACTAACTGATACATCAATAAAAAAGAAGATTTGGGGCTGGGGTTGTGACTCAGTGATAGAGCGCTTGCCTAGCATGCACGAGGCACTGGGTTTGATCCTCAGCACCACATAAATGTAAAATAAAGATATTGTGTCCACCTAAAAATAAAAATAAAAGAAAGAAGATATTATACTAGTTCATCTCTAAAATTCCTTGAGTCCTTATGCTCTATGATTTTTAYAATTCACATATACAATTGGCACTTAATTAAAGACTCTAAGAAAATTACAGGCTTCCTTTTGATCAAGATTCTGTCTCACTCCAGGATTTAAAAAAAAAAAAAAAAAAAGAACTCTCCATAAAATTATGCTCAGCCCATAGAAAATATTAGTATTGTTAGTATAACTTAAACTAGCAGGGAAAGCCAGGATATACATACCATTCCCTTTATGTTGTAGGTATTTTAGTTACAAATTCCAATAAAAATATATTTGCTATTTTTTGCTTGGAAAACAGAGACAGTCAGAATTAATTCCAAGAGTTCAAGTGTTTATTTATCTTTTTTTTTTCTTTTGCATTAGACATTCATATTATCAAGAGTCAGAAAAATGCAAAAAAAAAATTAGTTTCACCAGTTCTCCCATTAAAAAAGTGAATTCCCATATGGAAAAATAAAAGACCCAGAATAGCAAAAGCAACTCTAAGCAGGAAGTGTGAATCAGGCGGTATAGCAATACCAGATTTCAAACTATACTACAGAGCAATAGTAACAAAAACAGCATGGTACTGGT